CTGGGTGGCTCTGTCAGTTAAGTGTCCAACTCTTGGTTTTGGCTCAAATCATGATCTCACAATTCATGAGTTCAAGCCCCACATCCAGCTCTATGCTGAAGGTGCAAAGCCTGCTTGGGATTCTCTCTTTCTTTCTCTCTCTCTCTGCCCCTCTCTCGCTGATACACTCCCACTCTCTAAATAAATAAATAAATACACCCCCATTCTCTAAATAAATAAGCAAACAAACTTTAAAAAAATAATAAAACGGGAGATGTTAGTATGAATACCTACTCTTAATATTTGTATATACAGAGATATAGGAATATAGATTTGTGCATATTATATATAAACCTTGTATATATTGTGTACATGCATACATGTAACTAGTTCTGTAGCTGAGAAGGCCCAGAAACAATGCCACTTAAGTAACAATGAGCACCTAGCTCCCAGATACTACTTTATAAATACCATTCTCCAATAAAAAGGAATCAAGACTCCTTGGAAAAATGGCTGACTCCAGTGTTATAGCAATAAAAGTATAAAATCAATCTGAAACATCTTGTAGAACTAAAGAGTAAGGAAGTCCTCAAAAAAAAAAAAATGGGACACATCAAAAGGACACAGGGGCCAGCATCAATAAATTCCCAATGGCCAAATATGGGGCAATTTGAGCAATAATATAAAAAATGATAGTAACTGATTAAAGTTCATAAAATAAAATGAGAATCCATAAGTGGCGCCTGGGTGGCTCAACTGGTTAAGCATCTGACTCTTGATTTTGGCTCAGGTCATGATCTTATGGCTCATGAGTTCGAGTCCCATGTTGGGCTCTGTAGTGACAGGACAGAGCTGCTTGGGATTCTCTCTCCCTCATTTTCTGCCCCCCACCCCCAACTCATGCTTCTCTCTGTCTGTCTGTCTGTCTGTCTCTCTCTCTCAAATAAATAATAAACGTTTTTAAAAATGTGGGAGTGGTTTTAGAACCAGGTAATGGACAGAGGCTAGAAAAATCTGGAGAAGTATGATAAAGAAAGCCTAAATTATCTTGAATAGACTGTGAGTGGAAATGTGGAGTTTGAGGACAGTGCCAGTGAGGGCACAAAAGGAAGTGAGGAACACACACTGGAAACTGGAGGAAAGAGAATGCCATGTAAAGGCAGAGAGCTAAGTCCCACATCCGCAGTTACATGGGAAGCACAGAGTCTACCTACTGAACTGGGTGATCTGCTGGAAGAGATTTCTAAGCAGGTGTTGAATGTGCCTCTTGGCTTCCTCTTGCCACAAAAGGAGAGACACACATTGAGTAAAGGGTGGTTAAACAAAAGAAACCAAGACTTGAGGGCTGTGAGATGCCTGGCCTCTCCAGAGGGTACAAATGTCAACATTAGGAATGGCTTCTAAGCAAAGATCAAAGAGAAGGCCAAGAACGCCTTATCTCTAAGAGATCTGTGGGCTTTGATCTAATGGGGTGAACCCCAGTGAGATTCACAGGAGGCTGTGCAAGTCTTGTGAGAGAACACAGTAGCAGACACACTGCTAGCTCAGACTGAAAGGGTGCAAAATGAAATGAAGCCATTGGACATCCAAACTTGTGCTGACAGGAAGCATGCAGAGAAAACTCCGTGGCCGCAGCCTTTCATGAAAAGACCCTCACAGGACAGAGTCAAGAAACATGGAGAATTAATTATTCCTGAGGTTGAGATTTAATTATTCCTAATTATTATAATAGAACGAATAAGTTTAAGGTGAGGAGGAGGGGGAGATGGTCAAAGAGTGGGATCCTTGAAACTGAACTTATAGACAGAGCATGCTTACCAGTAATGACAAGGCTTAGAGTAGGTCCACAAGAATGGGTGAGCTAGGTTGGGTGAAAAAACAATAGTGAAAGAAAAGCCTTTAAGAAATTGAAGATCATCCATATAAAAATGGAAATCACCAAGAATGGTGACAGGGTAACAGTAAAGAGAAAATGTAAACTAGGTATTAGCAGTCACGAAAGTCTAAAACTCCTTGGATGACCCTTATTTATTCATCCGCCTCAATTTCTCACCATTCCCCAGCTTTATAACCTAACCATACTTAAATTTTCTTGTCCGCAACGTCCAGATGTGACTGTGGGACTTTGCAAATAAATGCTCTTCATTCTACCTGGTTCATTCTCTGCCCTGTTGTAATCCAGGCAGATAACTTCTAGTACCTGTATGTTTTCACAAGTCCCTATGTTTATTACATCACAACACTTTCAAACTATTACGCTCTTTGTCTTTACTCTTAGCTCCAGGAGGGCAAGGGCTGTGTCTGAGTTGTTCAACATGGTTCCTCACACTCAGCTCAGTGGCTGGTGAATGCAGTACACAGTAAAGGAAGAAAAGGTTTTTTCTCCCAGTCAAAGGTAAAATGTCTAAAGCAGTTCTCTCCTTTGGATTCTCTAACAAACATTAATATCTGAGCTCAAACAATGGTTTCCCTTAAGGGACATATTTATAGGGCTTTAAATCCCTTATAAACATTAGGTTTTAGTTCCTTTTAAAAACCATTCTTATTTACACATGGAAGCATTTGAAAGATTTCTCTCATGAACTCTAATGTCTGCAGAAGGGGATTTTGATTAAAAACTCTTCTTACAATAACCACCTTTATGGATTTTCCCTTCCATGGAAGTCTTCATTAAATTGACTATCTCTTCCTCCTAATCTGTGGAGTCTTATTTAAATTATTTGGAGATACAGTGCCCAGAGCTGCAGACAACAGCAGGATTTAAGACAGACATAGTAAACCAATCACACAAAGGAGAAAACAGTGTGGCAAAAAAGGAAAAAAAACCCACAATATTCCTCAAATTGCATGCAATAATGACAAGTATTTCTGTACTGATATTTTTAGAAAATTGAGTTCAAAATAAAAGCAGGTCAAAAGAATCTGCTCAATTTCTCATGTGAGCAAGTTGAAAAAACTAGTTAATTTATCATAATTTTCTCATTTTTCTGGGTCTGACCCAGAAAAACCATCATCTAACAAATATACCAATGGTTACCTGGCTGACTTAAGTGAAGTGAAAATTCTCAGCTATAGCTAAGTTACAATGCGATTGTGTAATGTTTTAACATATTCACATACCTATATTTCTAAAAGTGCAGACCTCAAGACACAGCTATAGTCTATGCATAATAATAACAACAATAATAATAAATTTTGATACTGAAAATTTAAATACTTGCATATGGTCACAAGAGCTCTAAAACCAAGCATGGAGCCCTAGCTCGCTGACAATATCTGAAATTCTCTTGAATGGGCACCCAGTGAGTTTTTGATCACCATCCAAAATATTTAGGTCATCCTGTAGGAATGTGCTGCATTGCAAAGGAATTCTTTTCTGTGAGCTAAAACCTATTTTGCTCAATAAAGCAGGGAATTTTCTGTTCCAAACTTCAAATATATCTACCACAGTGCTTCCTTTCTTTCCTCAGTGCTTAAAGTTGAGGTGAACTTCCTTCATTTTAAGACCAACCTTTCACCTGTGCTCTTTTCCTAGAACTTATTTAAATATTCACACTGTTATAGAGCTTCAGTAGGCCCCCTTTTACTAGATCTTCAACTTTTCCCTCCCTGCTGGGTCATTATCTACAGACTAGAAGCAAGCTCACTCTGTCCTGTCCTTTAAATGCCCGCCCTTGGCTATGTGTTACCCATTATTCCTCCACCTTTGCCACTTTACAACCTCCACTACTTTGTGGGCCTCTAGAGGTCTGTAGCTCAGTCATTTCTGTTGTGCACATTTTTCTAGGTTTCCTGGCTGTCCAGCATTTGTCCGGAAAATCTGCCATTTTGTACAGCTGAAACACTAGCAGCTACGGCACCTTTTCACCAGATAGTCCCCTTTAGGACCCTAGACTTCATGTGAATTGTACAAAGAAGTAGAGGACAGCAGGGACATCTAGAGTCATCTAGAATTCAGCTGCACAAGATATCCCCACCTCAGGCTTCCACAACAATCTTGTGTTCCCATGGCTTCATGTGCCTACCAAAACATATAGTAGTAACCACTAAAACTGAAGCCCTATACCTATCTGCCCCCAATCACTAGCTTGTGATGCCTCAAAGGCAGAAATCATTACTATCTTTTTTTCTCGGCATCTTTAAGTTTCTTTCTTTTCAAATTATGTTTATTGTGGTAAAAATACATAACATAAAATGTATCATTTTGAGTGTATAATTCAGTGACAGTAGTACATTTATATTGTTGGGTAATTATCACTACCATCCAATTCCAGAACTTTTCTCATCTTCCCCAACTGAAACTCTGTATGTATTTAAACAAGAACTCCCTACTACCCCTACCTCTTGTCCCTCGTAACCACCATTCTATTTGACTCATGTTTATATGGTTAGTTTCTAGCATGTCACCCCTCAATGGTATGATCTCAATAACTGCAGAACTGAAGGAAATGAATCTCTTTCTCCTCAATCATCCCATAAAAGAACAAATTAGAAGAAAATGGAAAGCTACAATTCACAGAGGAATGATATGTATCATCATAGGAGTTATCAGAAAACTTGAATGATGTGTTAGCTAGAATTGTAAGTGTATGACTACTTCAAACCACCATCTTGGCTCTCTAGCTAGCACAAATAGATACTGAGCACATATATTTTTAAGCTAATAAAATGATCAAATATGAAGGAAAAAAATCTACCTGAAAAAGAAATGTATAACAAGTTTTTCCCCTCCATTCAAATATCTAAGACTGCTGAATTGAGTTCATACTTCTTTCAGAATACATTCCCATCCATAAGTGCAGTGTCTCACTACCTTACTTAACAGGAAGAGCAAAGAGGAAACCTAATGGAGATGCATATTGCGTGAAAAAATATATACAACTGCCTCCTAGAAATGTACGTAGATACAAAGGAAATGTAGGGATAGGAGAGTTTCATAATCCACTTCGATGTATGGAAGCTCTTGCATTTAAAAGAAATTATGTCATAGAAATTTCCAAATTAATTTATTTGGTACTTACAGAACATATAAAAGATGGACCTTAAGGTCGTAAGTCTTGGGAGGATTCTTAAATAGCGGCTCCATAGAACAGATGAGTAATTCCAAGTCCTCTTTCATCCAGCACTGTATGTTCCAGTTTGCACCTGAATTAAAAATAAACTACATTAAATCTGAAAAACATTCTGAACAACTCAGTGAAAGAGAAGAACTAAATTAAATTTACCGGTGTTCTGATACAACTTCCACTGCCTATTCTGAGAGAAAAAGAACCGGCTCTAACCAGTGGTATGTATCTGCCCAAGTCCCTGAGGCTTTCAGCTTCCTTTTTGGTAAAGGAAGAGACTTAAATTATTGCTTCTCAAATTCTTTTTTTTTTTTTAAATCTTGAACTACTTAAGTAGGACAAAAGGCCTCAAAAGTCACCTAGCTCAGTTCGTGCTCACTTTCCAAGAGAAAAGAAAATATTCAATATCAAGATACAAGCAAATGTGGAGCAATATTTATTTGTCTGCTTTTACCAATAAAAGCATAGTGATTCACATGTGAGATATGACTCATGTCTTAAATTCTTGTTATTGTGATATCACAGGCCCCAGATACAACTGATGCAGGCATACTTTCACTATGCACTGAAAAACTCACCTGACACTAAATTATTGGGAATTTGTGATTCAAAAAGCAAGAATATCAACAATTATACATAATGGTTCACTTAAGACAACACTAACGTATTTCCCCAAACTTGAAGGATTTCTAGCTAGCAGGATTATATAACACTGTTGAACCATTATGAAGTAAACAGCATGCTTGGCAGAATAATCCGTCGAAATCCTTAGTAACCACCACTTAACCTACCAATTTCAGTTACAAAAATTTAAACTCACTAAGAAGTGACTAGTTATGCAAGCTTTATTTATGTGTAAAACCAAAGTCTACAGCATCATAGGGGCATCTGGGTGGTTAAGGCTGTTTGGCTCAGGTCATGATCTCATGGTTTGTGGGTTAGAGCCCCTTGTTGACAGCCAGGAGCCTGCTTGGGATTCTCTCTCTCTCTCTCTCTCTCTCTCTCTCTCTCTCTCTCTCTCTCTCTCTCTCTCTCTCTCCCTTGCTCCCACACATCCTTGTTTGTGCTCTCTCTCCCTTGCTCCCACACATCCTTGTTTGTGCTCTCTCTCTCTCTCAAAAATAAACTTAAAATAAATCTATAACATCATAATCATTCCTCTTCAAAACTTCATGTTTTTTCAAAACCTGAAAAACTAACATGTTTCATCATTTCAAAGCTTGTCACAAAGACTCTGCCTTAATAAGTTCATTCTTGGTATACCCATTAATTGCTGGAATGGCTAGTAAAGTTCCCTTACAAATTAAAAAAAAAATTCTTCAATTAAAATTGAGTACATGTTGTGGGGCACCTGGGTGGCTTAGTCAATTAAGTGTCTGACTTTGGCTCAGGTCATGATTTTGCAGTTCTGTATGTCCGAGCCCCACGTCAGGCTCTGTGCTGATAGCTCAGAGCCTGGAGCCTGCTTCAGATTCTGTCTGTCTCTCTCTTTCTCTCTCTGCCCTTCCCCCACTCACATTCTCTCTCTCTCCCAAAAATAAACATCAAAAAAATTAATATAAATAAAAAAATAGGTGAATTAATTAATGGCTATGGACTCTATTGGAGACACGGGGATTATTACTAAACTGATATCAACACACCAGAGTGTTTCTTCCATCTAATCAGTAATGCTTAACCAGGAGCAATTTGACCCTCAGGAGCATATGGCAATGTTTGGAGACATGTTTTGATCGTCACAACTGGGGAAGGAACTACTGGTATCTACTAGGTAGAAGCCAGGGATGTTGTTAAACATCCTACAATGCAAAGAACAGCCCCTACCCAAGAATTGTCTGGCCCCAAATGTCAATAATGTTGAGGTTGAAAACAAATTTTTCTAGAGACTTTTTTGTAACGTTTTTTAAAACTTATTTCTGAGAGAGAGAGAGACAGCGTGAGTAGGGGAGGGTCAGAGAGAGAGGAAGACACAGAATCTGAAACAGGATCCAGGCTCTGAGCTAGCTGTCAGCAGAGAGCCCGACGCAGGGCTCAAACCCACAAACCATGAGATCATGACCTGAGCCAAAGTCGGACACTTAACCGACTGAGCCACCCAGGCGCCCCAAGGTTGAGAAATTCTAACAAACCCTTCATAGAAATGCTTTATTTATATTTGCCTTTATTTTCATACTGTAGGTCTCTTTGTATTTCTTGAGTCAGCTGATTCTGCTCTGTTAGCTTTTCCAGAAGGCTTGGAAATAATTTTGTTGTTTAGATTTCCAGATGCAGAATTATTAATTATGCTAGCTACATTCAGTATGCATTATACTTGAACAAAACCTTCTTGATTTAAAATATATATTGGCTCCAGAGAGATTCCTTGCTTAAACACACATTATTCATAAATGCTTTCAAATTTAACTACTTCTGAGGTGTCTGGCTAGCTCAGTCTGTAGTACATGCAATGCTTGATCTCAGGACTGTAAGTTCAAGCCCTAGTTGGGTATAGAGATTACTTTAAAAACTTTTTTAATGTTAAAAAAAATAAAACTTATTTCAACAGTTGAATATTTTGAATATTGTATATATTTAACAAAATAAGGTGTGATTTTTCTATTTTAAAGCAAATTTAGGTAGCTTGGTCAATTTAGTGTCCAACTCTTGGTTTTGGCTCAGGTCATAATCCTAGGGTCATGGGATTGCACCCTCATCAGACTATGGGCTGAGTATGGAGTCTGCTTAAGATTCTTTCTTCCTCTCTCACCCCTTTCCTCCACATGTGCTCTCTCTAAAATAAAAAATAATATTAAAATAAGGCAAATTTAGAAGATTACAAAAATGGATTTATAGGATATAAGTAAAAGAGTTCCCTTATTACATTTTTCTTTTATTCTTATGAGATATCAAATAATTCGGGACTCATTAGCTTGGTCACATAACGAATTATAATTTTATTACTAATATAAAACGATGATATATGTTAAGAATCCCATACATAACACATTTATTTCATACAGGTTTCAGAGAATGAAAACATTTTGTTTAAAATTTTTTTAATGTTTTATTTATTTCTGAAAGAGAGAGAGAAGTGTGAGCAGGGGAGGGTCAGAGAAAGAGGGATACACAGAATCTGAAACAGGCTCCAGGCTCTGAGCTGTCAGCACAGACCCCGACACGGGGCCCAAACCCACGAGCTGCAAGATCATGACCTGACCCGAAGTTGGACACTTAACCGACTGAGCCACCCAAGTGCCCCAAAAACACTTTGTTTAAAACAGTTAAATAATAGCTAATACTTGGAACATTAAAATACTTACCTATTTGTTGAAAAACTAAAGAATTCACTGTTGAAACAAATGCCTTCCCTTCCACGCCATCTCCATGTACAGAGCAGTTTTTATCTTCCTCACTCCAAAAGCAACAGTGAAAAGTTGTTTTGGAAGATAAATTAGAAAAATAGGTACTACTTGAATTAAATTTAGCTTCAACAACTGCCTCATAATGTTCATTCACATTTGAAGTGTTCTTGGAGATTCCAGCAGGCAAGAGAAAGTCATAGGTTGTATTTGGTGGCATGCACAACAATTTAAATCTCCAGGGAGTAACTGGATGTGCCAAGTTAAATGCAGTTATCAAATAAATAAATTCTGTCAGGGTATTAAAAAAGACACATAGAAAAATAATTAATCACTTTGACTAAGACATAAGTAGGAAGTATCTAAGATTAAACCATGTAGTGCTCAATAGTAAGTAACTTTCTAAGTGCTCAATCTATGCCTACTCACAGCTCTGTGCTTCCATTAGACAATGTGTTATACTCAAAAGGAGACATTAGTTTATAGAGATAATTCACTCTTTAACACCTCCTTTTGGAAATTCATGCTTCATTTTCCTCATGAATCTAGCATTCTATATTTATTTTAATGCAAAAAATTTTTGCTCAATATTTAAATTACTTTTTCTAAAAAAATATGCTAATGAACTTCCAGTATAAGTGAGAATATCTGGATGTGCAACTTTGTAAACAAATATTAAAGTTCTGTTTTAATATTTTTTAATGCATATTCATCATTTTTGAGAGAGAGACAGGGAGCATGAATGGGACAGGGACAGAGAGAGACACACAGAATCCAAAGCAGGCTCCAGGCTCTGAGCTGTCAGCATAGAGCCCAGCATGAGGCTTGAACTCACGAATCACAAGATCATGACCTGAGCTGAAGCTGGACGTTTCACCAACTGAGCCACCCAGGCATCCCTGTTTTAATATTTCTTAAAAAGAATAATACCAAAATGTTAGCCCTATAAGTGCTTTTAAAAAGAGTTTGTTTTCAACATCAGGACAGCTGGATGATATCTAGAACTACCCATAATCCTCAAATACATGACATCATCTAAGGCATGTCCTTAATGCACTCTCCAATAATCAATGTACAATGACAGGAAAATTCCATTGCTGACTGAAGACAATTCTCTCCTTTTTAGACATATAAAAATTAAGAATTATATAATCCCATACCCAAAAAATTCTCAAAAGTGGTACTTATTTTTTAGGAATTGTCTGAAAATAAAATAATAATTAATTCTCAATAATTCTTTCTTTTACAAGCTACTCAAATAATCCAATAGCTGTGTTGCTTCATATACAAACTAATGCAGAGAATGTGAGAATTCTGAGAATTTTGCATCAATTTGCATGGAATGAGAATTTTGAAGAATTTGGGTAAATGTAAAAATGTAAGAAAATAACAATTTTTTAAAAAATCAATTCACAAAAATGTTTCAAATTATAAAAGTAAAATATGTAGAACTATTTAAATGATATATAGGTAACAACTGTTAAAGTTTGGTTTCTAAAGTTTTCCATAAAAATAAATTAACATAAAAATGTATCAGATGCAGGGGCACCTGGGTGGCTAAGTCAGTTAAGTGTCCAACTCAATTTCAGCTCAGGTCACAATCTCATGAGATCCAGACCCACTGCTTAGAAGACTCTTTCTCTCATTCTCTCTCTTTCTCTCTCTCTTCCTCTACCCCTCCTCCACACTCAAGCACTCATTCTCTCTCTCAAAATAAATTTAAAAAGGTATCAGATGAAAAAAAAATAAAATAAGAATGTACCAGATACACAAATTAAGCCAAATGTGACTAACATGACTAATGTTATTTTGCCCACACTGATAATAATTAGGTATCATACATTATCAAAAGTGACCCCTCATTACAACTATGTTCCTTTGGACTTCAATCTTTCTAATATGTGTTTCTGAAATTAGAACATGTCAATAAAAAATAGGTTATTTCTTTTGTTTTACAAAACCATGAATATTTGTTGGTATAAATTAAAAGCATTCTTTTCTAGCTGCATATTGAAGATTCAGTTGGCTGAACTGAAATTAGTCTAAAATCTTCAAAGAAGTCTTTGAAATTTAAAATGTAATAATGAATGAATAATCATAGACATAATGACTACTGATTCAGTTTAATTAAAGGATGATTCTATTTTGCATGCTTGTTTTGCAAATAATATTTCTTTCCCTCCAGAGTCCAGAATTTGCAACTGAAGGCACGTGCTATCATGGTAACAACATCCCAAGAACTCTTCTGATTCGCAAAATTTCATCACCTTTTGGAAAGCCAATGTAAAACAAGTTGAGTGGAGCCTAATAAAAATTAGAGAATATAAGAGAGAATTAGTATATTGCTACTTTTTGATAGTCCCTTGTGGCATAGTTGTTTTGTTTTATTTTGGGTTTTTTTTTTTTTTTTAATCTGTCAACAGTGAAGTTATCCTGGGTATTTTCTGCAAATATATAAATGGCAACAATGAGAAAGAACAGTATGTATAACAAGGAAGACTAGTAGAAAAGCTCATAAGAGCACCTTCAGATAGGATTAGCCAAGAAGATGCTCAGAACTCACTGACACACAACTGGACAGCTGGAGGATCTACTAATATGGTTGCCAGATAAAATGAGTTTAGTTAAAAATAGCCTGACCTTAATTTTAAAAACTTGGAATACAACCTAAATTAGGTGATTTGAGGGTTTTTTAAAAAATCAGATTATCTCTAGAGTGCGGTAAGAAACAAGTGAGAATAAATAGTATGCTCAAAATTCATTGGGAATATAGGTGACTAATTTCAAACAGAAGCATGCTATTAGTTAAAATCAAGACATTAAAGAAATCATCTGTAAACTTTATCTTGAGGATACTCCTGCAGTGGATAGGAGGTAGACTAGTACACATTTAATCTCTAAAAGCATTCTTCTGATGGTATTCAAGATGCAAATTTTAAAGGTATACACCATCCCTTGATAATATCCCTTTATAATATTATACTTCTCATTGCCTACTGGATTTCTAATGTGAAATAGCATTTAAAATGGCATGTTCTTTCTACTTGAGAATGAATCCATTGTTTTGTGTCATAGCCATATATTTTAAATATTATCACCAAGTTAAACTGCTCCTTGATAGAGAATTAAAGTTTTGACTATCATCTGATTTATATACATTTATAATTTAATAATGCTACATTTACTAAATTAAAATTAAAACATTTATGTATCACTGTATCTTGTTCCTACACATGCATTACTGTGCATACATAAAATTTTCTGTACCATAAAAAAACAAAGTTAAAAAGCAAACAATGGGCAGGAAGAAAAAAATTGTAGAACATTAATAGTCACAGGCCTGTGATGACTAAGGTTACGTGTCAACTTGTCTAGGTCCATGGGGTGTTCAGTCATTTGGTCAAACATTATTCTGGGTGTGTCTGTGAGGATGTTCTGGATGAACTTAACATTTGAATCAGTAAAATGAGTAAAGCAGATTGCCCTCCTTAAGGCGGAGGGGCCTCATGATCAATTGGAGACCTGAATAGAACAAAAAGGCTGAGTTAGCGAGAACTCCTACTGCCTGATTGATGTCAGTCTTTTCCTTCCTTTGGACCAAACTGAAACATCAGCTCTTCTTGCATCTTAAGCCTTCCAGGGTCCAGACTGGAACTTATACAATCAGCTCTCCTGAGTTTCCAGCCTGCCAACTATAGGTCATAGGACTTCTCAACCTCCACAGTCTTGGGAGCCAAGTCCTATAATAAATCTCTTTCTATATATAAATCCTACCAGTTCTGTTTCTCTGGAGAACCCTAGTACAGTACTAAATATCTATGGTGGTATTGCAAATGCATTGTGGTGCATATTTCACAGTATTCATCAAATTTTAAAATGTGCATACTATATAACAGAGAAATTCCTCTTTAGTAATTATTCAGCAGGAATATTCTCCCAAATATACAAAGATATAGATATATGGATTTCGATGTATTATGTGCTACAATAAAAGAAATGTCAATCAATGGGAAATTGGTGAAATAAATTAATAATTTAAAGTATATTCATACAATTCATTGTGGTACAACCATTAAATGAATAAGCATATCAGTAAATACTCAGTAAAAAAAATGTTGTCATGATAAATTGAAAAACTATTAAGTATAAAAAAACAAAGAACAAAATATATATAGACCAATTCTATTTTTGCAACCATAGATATGAATTGTGTGTTTGTATGTGTTATAGTTCTGGAAAGCTACACATCAGGTTATTCACAGAAGGTTGGGAAGTGTTTTTATTTTCACACTTATGCTTTTGTTTGGTTTGTATTTTTAATCATAAGCATGAGATTCTGAACTATGGACAGGAAATTCTGCTAGCCAATAAAAGAAACAGCATCTCTATGAGCAAAATCTCTTATATATAGACATTTAAAAAGCAAATAACTTACTCCAATGTAACAGAGCCACACAGAATTTTTGGCAAATCATCTTACTTCAGGGAAGTAGACCTGAAAAACAGTACATCTCAAACAAATACATACACACACACACGCACAAAAACACCTGACTTCTATATAAGCTATCTGGGAAATATAAAAGGAAAAGAAATATGAACAAGTCTTTAAATTCAACCCTCTATAGTACTCTACACCAATATCAGAGAAGTGTCTCACATTAAAGTATAGCTACACATTAAAGATCTACTCCTGTGTACATGCTATCTTACACAGTTAAAATATAAGCTACGTATTCTACGGCATAATAAAAAAATTTTCAATGTTTATGCGGTGACATGTCTTTATGTCTTTATGCCATGACAAACCAGGACAGACATCATTAGACTGAATTTTTAACTGAACAGAAGTGTTCATAATGTTAATTAAATATGTACAATCTAACATTAATAGCACAGTCTTCTTTTTATGCTCAGTTCTAAATTTCTCTTATTTTCTAAAGCCTTTATCTTTACTGTGATATTACAAAGCCAAACAGTTATAGCACAGGTAATCACTGTACATTTATTTCCAATAAAGAGGAGGACATTTTCCAGTATGCTTTTGGGAACTCCAACTATTTATTTGCAGATGAAGCAATACTCACATTGGAGAGTTATCAGAGTAATTCAACGAAAGGTTGACAGCATAATACATCCAAATGACAGGGTGACTTCAAGAAATAAGCTTTCTCATGAAGTCTCCTCAATTTGAAATAATCATGAATGAGATTATTCATTCTAGTACGTCATGAGTCAGAACGACAGCATAATTTTAATATACTGGGCTTCAATTTGTAGTGAAATCATTAAAGCCTTTTGTTGCTCCAGGGTTTTTGGTTATCTCAAACTGGAGATTCAGTTCACTAAATGAAAGTTAACCTGAGGTAAAAAGCTCTGAATTAGGTGTCAGGAGTCTTGCATGCCAATCTGGACTCTTTGACTAACCAGCTGTAGGACTTGGGGCTTCAACACTCTAGACCTCACATTCCTCACCTACAAATCCCCCTGCTGGATGAGCTCAACAATCCCTTTCAGACATGTCCATGATTTTATTGTAAAATAGAAGTTACAGCTTTACACAAAGAATATTTTCAAATATTAAGAAATATATCTCATAGGTTATTACTGACAATTGGTACCATGTGATGAGTAAACAGAAAAACGTGCTTGTTTAGTTCACAATTTAATAACTCTCAGGAGGAAAATGGATGAGTATAAAAAATGTTGTAGTCTGGTCAATTTATTTTTCAGGCTCTTGCTTTTTCATCAGAAGTTTGGTTCTTATATACTAACATCACAGTGTATCTTCACGATTTCTAAAAATAGGTTGTGTTTGGAATCTTCATTATCTAATCACATGAATTTTTTTTGCTACCTGTTTCTGGTATAACATTTTCTCATAAAATAAACCCAAGAGCAAGTTTTATAATCAGGATGTGTCATAGATACAACATATCATTAAACTAAGTGTTTTGAACGAACCAACTGGCGACAATTCAGTCCAACAATTGATTTGACTCACTTTTAACGCAACTGACCTGCTGAGTCAAGTGAACAAACAGACCAGGGTTTTTTGCCTATAGAAGACAAGCATTCTTTTATTTTAATGTTCCATGCAAAACACAAACTATTCTTATGGTTTGAATTCTTGTAGTCAGGTTTCACTCTTATATAACAGAGAAATAATCACAAATATTTGAAAAGGGCATAGATGAAACCTTGAGGAGAGCATGTGAAAGGTGGTACCTTACATGGACCCAAATGAGACAAATATTTAAATGACCTGACATTGTACCAGAGAGGAATCTATAAGGAGATTTACAAAAACACAAATAATATTAAAAAAGGAACAGGAATTTTTAAACTGTGAGAAAAAAATTAAGTAAAGGGAAAACTAATGGCAACGTGGCCGAAAGAAGTATAATACACAAAATGCCATTAATTTGATTTTAGTTTTTAAAGATGAGCCAGTGGGGCACATGGGTGGCTCAGCTGGTTAAGCATCTGACTTCAGCTCAGGTCATGATCTCACTGCTCATGGCTTCGAGCCCCATGTTGGACTCTGCTGACAGCTCAGAGTCTGGAGCCTGCCTCTCTCTCTACCCCTCCCCTGCTCATGCTCTGTCTCTCAAAAATAAATAAGATGTTAAAAAATTTTAAAGATAAGCTATTAATTTCCCTTATGCTTTCTTAGAGTCAAACTGTTCAATTATAAATTCAGAGTACTCAAAATAAAATGAAACCAACAGCTTAGGGGAAATGTTCAAATATTCCCGACACTAAGAATGGAAAGAAATTTTGCCTGTGTAACTTCAAAACAGGTAACATCCTTGTGAACATCCTCATAGTACCAGAGTTTCACATGGACCTCAAAAGTCATAATTTCTCAGCCCCTCCATTGCCAATACTCTATTCTAAACCACTACTATCTCTTCCCTGGACAGTCAGAAGAGCCTCCTAGCTGATCTTGCTGCTGCTGCCCTCACTCTCCAGTTCAATCTATTCTCAGTGCTGCAGCCAGAGTGGTCTTGTTAACAGATAGGTCAGATCATGCCTGTCTTACTCAAAACACTGTCGTGCTCTCTTTTTCACTCTGAGTCAAAGTCCAAGTCCTGCACTACAAGGTCCTGGATCTCTAATGCCCCTCTGACCTCAGCAACCACTGCTCTTCTCTTTGGTCAAATCATCTTTTTAGAGGAGCCTTTCCTGACTAGCCCACCTAAAATTTCAACCCAGCATGTCATATCTGCTGAATTTTCTTCTCCTTATTACTTCACACTATCTAATGTAAATATGACTTGTTTTTTCTTGTTTATTGTCTAACTCACTAAAATATAAACTCCACTAGACCAAGGGTTTGTTGTTGTTGTTGTTGTTGTTGTTGTTTACTATTTCCTTTCATGATTATATCCTTCTCTCATAGAAGCCTGTCTCTCACATAGTAGGTGCTCTCTATACACTCACTGAATGAATGAATGCATGATACGAATCTTTCTTGAGATTTTCTTCAAAATAGGCTGGCAGCATCATACCAAAAAAATAACAGCAATCTTCAAAAAAGATGTTCTGTGGAGAGCAAAGATGTGATGCACACACATCCACACAGGAATATTATGCAGCCACAAAAAGAATGAGATCTTGCCATTTGTTACAACATAGATACTTAGTGGAACAAGTTAGACTGAGAGAGACAAATGCCACATGACTCCTATGTAGAATCTAAACAAAAACAAAAACAAAAAAACCCCCACACACACAAGTGAATAAACAAACAAAAAGCAGAATCAGACATATAAATACAGAGGACAAACTGATGGTTGCTGGAGGGGAGCTGGGGGGGAGGGGCAGAATGGGTGAAGAAGAGAGATATAGGCTTCCACTTATGGAATGAATAATTCACAGGAATAAAAGTCTTAGCATAAGGAATATAGTCAATGATATTGTAATAGTGTTATATGGTGACAGGTTCACTTTTGGTGAACATAGCATAATATATAAACTTATTGAATCACTATGTTGTACACCTAAAACTAATGTAATATTATGTGTCAGCTATACTCAAATTAAAAAATAATTTTAAAGAGGTATTCTAATATAATCCAGCTTTGAGAATCAGATTTAATTCCAGAAAGAATTTCAGAATGATGATTCTTAAACATTTTTAAATATGCATCTTGTTGAGAAGTTAATGAGAGCAAGGTACCAACTGCCAGGAAGAGACATATATACCCAAAATTAAGGCTATAATTTCAGGGGGTTAACAAGCCCCTGAAATTTATTCGAAGTTCCCAGATGAAGAAGTCCTGATGTAGATAAATGAATGGAATTCACACTCCTCAGTCAGTCCTCCATAAGTATAGCTCCTATGAACTGAGCCATTGATAGACACCAAGCTATGAGGAGTTTGAGATAATATTGCCTAATATTCCCCCATGGAATATAGTTATTCTATGTTGACAGTTAAAACGAATAATGTGTTTTATTTGAAATCTCCATAAAGTATACGAAGATTCATTCATAGTGTGATCTAAATGATCCATACATAGTACCTGGCTGTGCAGTCAGTAATTCAAATTTCACTTCCTTCTAAAAATTTTTTTAATATTTATTTAATTTTGAGAGAGAAAATGAGACAGTGTGAGTGGGGGAGAGGCAGAGAGAGGAAGACACAGAATCAGAAGCAGACTCCAGGCTCCGAGCTGTCAGCAAAAAGCCTGATGAGGGGCTCAAACTCACAAAATGCAAGATCATGACCTAAGCCAAAGTTGGATGCTTAATCGACTGAGCCACCCAGGCGCCCCTCAAGTTTCATAATACATCAAACAGAGTACACTTATTAAATATATCACTAACTCTTCAGCTATTACTATAACTTCAAACAAAAGGAAAAATCAAAATCTACAGTTTATTGAATCATCATATTATGGGTTTTCAGAAAATCAGACTAAATTCTATCACAGAAAATTCTTTGTGTATTTTTATGTATAAAATTCTCCTTAAATATAAAGCAGAATAGTCTCAATTAGTGTTTGAATGAGCAGGGAAAAAAAGAAATTATTTACAACTTATTCCAATGATCTCACAAAGTCTCTAGTTTCTAGAAAAGTTTATGAGTATGAAAAACAATTCTGACAAGTCTGTTGCCTTGATGAGTAAACTCAATGAGTTCAATCTGTCACTAATTCTTGCTTTTACTTTCTGCTAGAGAGGCACCCATATTTCACTTAAACAGCAACATTTTTTTAAATATAAATGAAAAACAAGTGTCAAAATAAATATAGATTGGCACAGCTCTACTAACCTTGTTATTTTAAATATGTTTACTTTTATTTCTTTAAGAACTTAGGACAGAAATTGGTCACATTATTCCTCCTCAGCAAGTAGCTGCTAAACACTTAATGTTTTTAAATTTTTATGTTATTTATTTATTTTATTTTAGAGGGAAAAAGAGGGTGTGTGCATGCTGGGTTGAGGGGGCAGAGGGGGGAAAGACAGAGAGAATCCCAAGTAGAC